TGTCATTGACATGACTTACAAAACCATGCATGTAACACTAAGTTTATCAATAATAATACAGGGATAGAGTCCAAGGGAATATATGGCTGGTAAAGAAAGATGAAGCCAAGAATGGGGTAAATTTTAAAAAGCGTCATGACGCTCTAAACATTGGCTGTATGTGGGTTGTAAATTATGAGAGGGCTCGGAGGTGACTGAGACAGGGTCTAGAAGGGTCTAGAAAGATACAGTCAGGTAAGTCATTTGGAAAAAGTACAGCTCTTCCTGGTCCTGAGGCCACAAAGAAATTTCTCCCATCAGTTCTTAGAAGGAAGAAACTATGTAGTGCTGTGAACGACGTTCTCAGGAAAATTTGTTCCATCAGTTTCATGAGTTTCCTAGGCCTGCCTCAGTCTCTTAAATAAAGTGATTATACCAGCCTACATGAAAAATAGGAAAGTAAGTCTATACAACACAACAGGATTGAGCCGGGTATGCATCTCTCCCACTTTCTGGCAAGCTCAAGGGTTGATTTGGCACTCTCTGTAGGAATGAGCATATTGTCTATATTGAACAGATTTCATGAGTCTTGAGCAGCAGTGATATTGAGACTCCATGCTCTAACATACATGTCATGTACCACAATTTTATATCATCTGTTATGTGCAGAGCAGTAGCCAGTAATCAGTTGAGTTATGGGTGGGATTGGCAACTGGACATCCCTCACGGCTTTTGGAGATCTATTCAAAGACTGTCACTTGAATCTCAGATTTGCTCCCTGCAAGCTGACAGCATCCCCAGGGAGTACCAAGAATCTTCCTGAGGTAAAATTTTGGTGCTACTTTAAGACAGAGGCACTTGCGGGCTTAATTATGTTCCCAGTGCATGACCAATACTACTTCAACAAGAACGCTGGATGCGACTTTAGGCAGGAACAGGTATGAGCCCTAATTTGGGTACAAAGTGTCCTGAGAAAAGCACCCATGGTGTTTGAGCTTTGAGCAGTGTTATTATCGGTTACCTTATTCATGTGAAACTGCTCACCAGCCATCTACCCATGTGCCTCCGTGGGCAGATGAATTGTCAAATGGGGCTCCATGGCAGAGACCACTGGTTGTCTCCAGAATCTATTTTCTGCTTCCTCTAGAATAAATCAAGCCCCAATTAGCTGGGCTGAATCAAAGCTGCTTCCTTAAACCCCCTGTGAGCTGGTGTGGTTGTGTGTCTGCAGTCTGAGCCATGGACGTACAACTTCAGGGACGTGGAACCAAAGCAGCTGCAGGTGGGTGTGCTCAGTCTCGTCCTTTCTCATGACCTCTGGTTGGACTGTGGGCTTGAAGGAAGGACCTCCAGCAACCACCTCAGAGTATGGGATGACTTTCAGAACAAGGACCAAGTGCGGTAAAGACCATAACAGGACAAAACGAAACATTCAAAAACCCCCAAAACAAAAGAGGAAGCTGGCCACCAAGTCCCTGATGCAACAGAATGGCACAGCCCTGAACTGTCCCCTTCCAGTCTGTTCATGAGGCAGAGATATGCTATCTTTTTAAAGATAGTGCTAATTTGAATTTTTAATAAAATAAAAGTCAAATGTGTACTTTCAAAAATATCCTTTAAATTGATATACTTAGCCTTAGTTTGGCACGATATTTTCATAAAATTAATACCATAAGCAGAATGATATTAGAATCCCAGTTCAATGTACTTAATTCCTTGTAAGCTTCAAAGGATTAAGGGATTTTTTTTTAAAGAAAAATGAAATGGTGAGGTCAATAAGAAGAGAGTCATCGATGCAAACAAAGTTTGCATTTTTTAAATTTCAACTCTAAATCTTATGATGTAAAGTCAGTCTTTGCATGAGAGTGTGGGACTGTAAAAATTGATCATGCAAGCCTCACTCTTACAAAAATATCTGCCTTCTGTCTGCCAAAAAAAAAAAAATAGTACCGTTCATATATAATTACACACAGAAATCTAAGGGTCAAGTGATAAGGCAGTGTTGTAGTTTTCATATTTTAGCCAAGGTGGTGGCAGGTCTTTGAATGAATGGATGAGGAGATAAGCAGGAGGGGTGATAAAGAGAGGAGGTGCTGGGAGCTCAGATGAAGGGTAAACAGAGAACAATGTTTACACAAGATAGAAAAGTGAGAAATGAGACCCAGAAAAGAGAGAAAGAAAAACCTCTGTAAATAAAAATGAATGTGAACACAGACCAAGTCAGACAATGTTAAAGTTGAAACCAGATTAGAGAACATCTGGTTCTCTCCATCAGAGGTGTCATGGTGGGGGAAAGAGACCAGCTGCAGTCGGTGCATTCTGCAGGTGCCCCTGTGGGGTTTATCCTGCCCTCGGTGCTGTGGATGGGGGGCCTGTGGAAGACACAGAACAGAGACAGGGCTGCTGCTGGGAGCCAGGCAGGGGAGAATAACCTGAAGGCGTGTTCATGGGGAAATGAAAGGGGCAGTAAAAGCCATGTGGTTGTGGGAGGCAGTGAGATTTCTCAAACAGGGAAGTGGTCAGAGGGTGAGGTTTGGTAGGGAGGGGATGGCAGAGCAGGGGTGAGACCATGTGAGGGGGGCTCACAGTGGGGAGCTGAGGAGAGCTCTCTCTCTGAGGGGCAACCCACAGAGGTGAACCTGGTGTACCTGCTCTTCTCATTCCCCTGAGGCTGAATTTCCCCACATACTTCTCCTTTCCTTCATCATTCTGTATTCTTTCCTGTGGCAATCACATGGATTGCATCACGGGTGAGTCTAGTAGAGAAACCGGGTAAAAAGTAGGTCTCTACACCCTCTTCCCATGCCCAGAGGGCTGTCCTGGTCTCCTCCAGCCTGTGTGGACTCTGGCAGAGCAGGCCTAACCCCACGGTCACCTTCTCCAAGATGTTGAGACTAGAAGTGCAAGACAATTTGATTTCCAGTGAATTTTCTCTTCCTGGCTTGTAGACAGCTGCCTTCTCAGTATCTCCTCACATGACCTTTCCTTGGTGCCTGGGGACAGGGAGAGAGGGAGACAGAGAGCTCATTCTCCGTCATCTCTTCTTGTAAGGCCCCCTGTTAGTATCTCCTGTAACCACAATTACTTCTTAGAGTTCCCATCTTCAAATAGAACCACACAGGGCAGGAGGTGCTGTTAGGGCTTCCATGTATGAATTTTGGTCGGGGCGGGGGGGACACAAATAATCAGTTTATAACAATAAGACCACTTCATTTGGAGTTCAATGACAGCAAAATTACTTGGATTACACATGTAACAGAAATTCTCTAGAAGTTTTATCAGAAGTGAAGCTGATAATTTGATTGATAATCTTATGCTTTACATCTCTATCTCATTTGGTTCTGAGTTTAGGAGGGGAGAGAATGCTAGTTACCTGGTTCTACAGGCTCTATAATACTAACCAGTATAGCTGGGTTGGGTTGCAGTTGTAAGTAAACTTGAGAATCTTAGAGGCTTGCTTTCTGACACCAGGACACCACACGCGGCCTCTGTCTCGGGGCTGCCATCCGAGGCGGCGGCTCTCCCGAGCTCTGCAAAGCCAGGTGCTCAGAGCCCTGTAGGTGGCCTATGTCTGCAGCACCACACAGGAGGGCTGTGTGTTTCCTACAGGGGACTGTGATAACCATACAGCATCGTGTGGGCTGTGGCTTCCTAACACCGGAGGTTGCCATTGACAAGAAGATTCGGGCAATGATGGGGCATGTGCAAGATCTGGGTGGGGCTGAAATCATGGTTGGTGGTTCTTGGAGGAGTTTGTGGCACATAGAAATCGCCCCGTATCTGTGGCCGTAATAGAAAGAGCTCACTGACCGTGACCTCTAGCCTCATTATTAATGCTGACAAATGTGAAAGAGAAATGGCTGCAAACGGGATTTAAGTAAGTGTCCCCTGCACTCAGTGAGTTCTGGAAGTTATTAATGGGCACTATAATAACGTATGGCTTGGGTCTTTAAAAGATCGGAACTCATGTATTCACACAGTTCACCAGTCAGAACCATCAACAAATCACCAGGCACTTCTCAAAATGGGCGACGTACATATTTTTGAACATTAACAAACGCCACTCTTTTTTGACAATGTATTTTCATCAGATCACAACACTTACCGTCAATGAGAACGTTCAAAGCCTTCCCTTGCCTGTGTCTCCGTGAAAAGCTGCACCTCTGACCCCTCCTCCCCACAATCCATCGCTGTACACATTGCCACCACACCCTCAGGTTGAAAAGCACAGCTTCCACTCAAGACTTCAAATCACGGACACTCCAGGGGCCAGGCGGTCAGAATGCCTCCCTGGAGAATGTCCTTGTGTCCGGGATGCTAGACAGTGAAACAGCAATTATCACAATGTATTTCAATTCTTGGTTTAAATACACTTGTCCCTCTCTGTATGTTCACATACCTACTAAGATCCTTGGTACCAAGCATGCGTTGAGGGACTTTTTGGCGAGGGAATATACAAATTAAACTCAAGAGGAGGGCATATGCTTTGTATTGTTGATAGTCCTATGTACTCTGGGGTGGCTACACTTTCATCTCTAAGGATAGTGGTGAACCAGCTATGGTTTATGCAGGTGCCTGGGGAGATGGCAGCAGACCTGAAAAGGCAAATCCTCCCATTTACAGAGGAGCCAGCGAGAATCAGGGAAGGAGACAGGGTGAGATAGGCTTGGCGACACCATGCAGTTCCTGTTTTTTGTTGTAGTGGTGAGACGCGAGTCTCCAAGAGGTCAAGAGACCTTCCATTGTCGCACACAACTTCCGGGAGGGAATCCAGCCGGGGGAGGCTGAGGACGAGGAGAGCAGCAGGAAGCCAGGCAGAAGGACCGTGTTGGTCCGAGCTGGAGGGGAAACGGGGGCACGAAGGGGAGGCTGGCGTTTGAAGGAGCAGCAGATCGTCTTTTGTTTCAATTAGCAGTTGGTGGGGAGCACGGCTTTTTGGTGGAAGAAGGAAGTCAGACCAGAAACCCTGAGAGGCAGGTTTTCTGAGAACAGAGGGAAGTTGAGAAACATCTGCAAGTGACATGCTGTCTCTGGAACTCGTCCTGCTGGCTGCTCTTCTCCTGAGGGGTGACAGTGCAGGAGGTAAGAGCCCTGCCGGCTGCCCAGCCCCGGATCCGGGCAGGGTGTGCTCCCTTTCCCTAGACAGGTCAGGATTCTCAGGTCACCGGAGAGCTCACGCCCTGAGGGTTCCTGTCTCCGGGTAAGGCTTACCCCTGGAAAGGATAGTGGTGAGTATGGGCCCCGGGTGAGGGAAATGCCGTCACTAACCTAGTCATAACTTGTCTCTCTCCCTCCCCCTTCTCTCATTTCTTCTCTCTCTGTCTCTCATCTCTCTCGTAACTGGTTCACGTTCCATCTTCTCCTTCCTGCTTGCCTCCTTTTTCCCTTAAACTACCTGACCCTCCACTACCCTCAGCCACCCAGGAACACATCTCGTTCCACATCATCCAGACCTCATCCTTTGCCAACCACTCCTGGGCACAACATCAAGGCTCAGGTTGGCTGGGTGATGTGCAGACTCATGGCTGGGACAGCGAGTCTGGCACGATCATTTTCCTGCACACCTGGTCCAAGGGCAACTTCAGCAACGAGGAGCTGATAGATCTGGAGCTGCTATTCCGTGTCTACTTCATTGGATTAACTCGGGAGACTGAAGAATATGCCAGTCAACTGCACTTTGGATGTAAGCTCAATCTACTCCATTAAGGGAATCCCTCAGAAGGTTCTTCTGTTTCTGGGAAACATCCTCATATCGTTCTGGACCCAAGGTCTACGTCCACAACCCAACAACCATTATGGCCTGTGTCATGTGCCCTGGAGAGCTGTAATTGCAGCTCCTTCACGTGGGCTCCTACCCCGCGCCCTCCCCCTCCAACCTGTGACTCACCTATCATTTCCCCGACTTCTTCAAGTCAAATTCTTGATTCTTGGCATGTATCCCTTATGGCCCCTTCCCCAGCCCATCAATTCTCTTCCTTATTCCTGATCAAACACATCTTTAGCTTACTCCCACACCCCTATAAAATTTTCTTGCTCCACTTTTTTTTTTAAAGATTTTATTTTTATTTATTTGACAGAGAGATAGAGAGAGAGCACGAGCAGGGGGAGTGGCAGGCAGAGGGAGAGAGAGAAGCAGGTTCTCCGCTGAGCAGGGAGCCTGACATGGGGCTCGATCCCAGGCCACTGGGCCGAAGGCAGACGCTTAATGACTGAGCCACCCAGGCACCCTCTTGATCCACTTTTTAATAAAGTTCTTATATTGTTTCTCTCATTTTTTTTCACAAATCTCTATTTTTTCTTTTTCTTCTTTCTTCCTAGATCCTTTTGAAGTACAGGTGAGAGCTGGCTGTGAGCTACATTCTAGTGACATTGAAAAAGCCTTCTTACAGGCAGCTTATGAAGGGTCAGATTTCCTGAGTTTCCAAAACCTGTCATGGGTGCCAGCTCCAGAGGGTGACAGCAGAGCCCAGAGTGTCTGTGATCTCATGAACCAGTACGAAGGCATCAAGGAAACCGTGCACAGGCTCCTCACAAACACCTGTCCCCGATTTGCCTTGGGTCTCTTCGATGCTGCGAAGGTGGATTACAAGAGGCAAGGTTGGTACAGCCCCTTCCTCTAAGACTTTTCCATACAAGTCTTGCCCCTTCCCACCATCCCTTTCAAAGTTGGGACAAGGAAGAATTCAAGACAGATAGGGTTTGCTGGGTACAAGTTTCCCAAAGGAAGATAATACATGCATATGGATGTGGTTAAAGACCCCTAAGCTGTGTGTTAGAGTCCCCATCTGAATACCTCTCATGGCCTCTGCAGTGAGGCCGGAGGTCTGGCTGTCCACTGGCCCCAGTCCTGGTCCTGGCCGTCTGCTGCTGGTGTGCCATGTCTCCGGCTTCTACCCAAAGCCTGTGTGGGTGATGTGGATGCGGGGTGAGCAGGAGCAGCGGGGCACGCAGCGAGGCGACGTCCTGCCCCATGCTGACGGGACGTGGTATCTCCGAGTGACCCTGGACATGGAGGCTGAGGAGGCGGCCGGCCTGTCCTGCCGGGTGAGACACAGCAGTCTAGGAAACCAGGACATCATTCGGTACTGGGGTGAGTAAGATGGGGTCTGTAGGTGTGCAAAGGTGGTTGTTGAGCCTAGAGATTAGGGCAGAGGAAGGTTTCATGACACCAGAATTACGTGAGCACGGTGTCAGGAAGGAATGAATACAAGTGCCTTCAAGAATGTAGGGATGGAACGATGGAACACAAAGGGCGCTCAGATGTAAGAGACTCAGGGAGAGATGAGGTGCCCTTCCCTGAGCAGGTGTGAGAATACCATGACAAGGTGGGCTGAAGATGGCCCTCGTACCCAATGCATGTGTTGACATGGGGGGAAATCAGTGGACAGAGTAGAACTGACCGTGGGTGGAAAATGACATCGCTGTGGCTCTCCAATACCCACAGGACACCACCTTTCCTGGTACTTGATCCTGTTGGCCGTGATAGTGCCCCTAATTCTTCTGATAGTCCTTGCATTGTGGTTTAAGAAGCGCTGGTAAGTTCTTTGTGTTTCCTCCTTTCTTCCCAGTATCTTATTTCACATTCCATTTTTATCTCTCTTAGCTTCTATCTCCTGACACTCCCCTCATCCTCACTTACCACCTCCAATGCACCCAGTATCTCCCATTTCTTTTCCACAGCTCCTATCAAGATATCCCGTGAGCTGCCTCATCACGCCTTCCCCAGTGGCCCAGGAACCTAGGACCACAGCGTGATGATACCATTCTTTCTGCCCTCTAATTTTTTTCTTGTTTCTGCTTTATAATCATTGTTCACATAAACTAATTTAGTTCCGTAACTCTGTATGGAATCCCTTCCTTGTAATCTCCATCTGTTTGACAGTCCTCTACTTTTGAAGTCCATTCTGATTCTCATCCTCCAGGGTGTTCCCTGATCCATGGGCGGGAAGCCCTTCAACTCTGCTATATGTGCACCTCACTTCTACCCTGCACGCAGTTTCCTGGGTCTTTCTTCCCCTTCCAGTGTGAAAGCTCCTTTGGGACAATGATCATGACGAAGGTGCGTTTCCCGCGTATAATACATGCTCAGTGAAAATCAAACCTAAACAAACCATATCCAAGTTAGATCCACTGTCATGTTGATAGTCTTTCTTCATAATGTTCATTCCTGACATGGTTGTAGTATTTGAAGGATTGACGTTTCCCTCCTTGTTCCAGTGTTTCTTGTTTGGCCCAGAAATCCCACATTCCTTTAGCTCCCTCGTTTTCTCCCTAACTCTTAAGGAAAAATGCAACTTTGCTCCCTGCCATACTTACTTTATAAATACAATGAGCCATCCTTCACCAACTTATTCTAAACATGAAGAGAGAAACAGTGAGCAGGCAACGTCTGCAGGGCAGTGGGGCAGACGTGTCGCTGAATGGTTAATAAAAAGGAACAAGAGAGCTGGTCCCCAGAATAAGGACGGGACCAAGTCAAGGGATGTATATGGAAAACAAACCCCTCAAAGGGTAGTGTTATCTCAGACACCTGTCTGGAGTTCTTTTCCTTTAAGTTTCATTCACTAATTCAAGTAATAACTTGTCGAGCACTAAACACAAGACAGGCATACACACTCGTAAATTGGTGGGCGAGGAAAGAGTCAGGGCTGCACCCACCTGCCTGGAGGCACCAGGCAGGTCTACTTCTTCAGTCTGTCTATGTCCTTTGTATTGGGTACAATATTTCGTTTCTTTTTAGGAATTTTTGAATCAACTTTATAGACATGTAATTTACTTACAATAAAATGTATCTGTTTTAAGTGTGGAGTTCCATTCATTTTGACAAATGTATACACCTATGTAAGCAATACCACAATCAAGATACAGCACATTCCATTACCCGGATACCCCTGTCCCCATGTGCAGCTAAACCGCCAACCGGGCATCCTTGAAACTACTGGTATGCTTAATGATATGATTAAGCTTAGATTTGTCTTTTCTATATTTGTATTAAAATGCAACCATCTGTATGTACTCTTTGTATCTAGGTGCTTTTTCCCCACTTAGCGTATGGTTGTTAGGTCATCCTACATTCCTTCTTATTGCTCAATCGATTCCATGTATGAATATACCACCTTTTTTTTTTTTTTAAATTCATCCACTCTTTGATGGTTATTTGTTTTGTTTCTAGTTAGAGGCTCTTTGAATAAAGTTGCTTTGTTTGTTTTATTACCTGCCTGGACTAATTCTGTGGATTCTGGCTGCCCCGCAGTTTGCCCTGCTCACTTTGTTTTTTCATCAAAGTGACAATTGGTATATAACATTACATTAGTTCCAGATGTACAATGTAAATCTTAGATTATTGTCGACACTGCAAAGTGGTCACTGGAAGAAGATCTCTTTTTCTCTCCTCCCTTCTTGTTTTCCTCCCTCCTTCCCTCCCCTCTTCTCTTTCTTCCTCTTTCCCACCTTCCTCGGAGTCACTCCCATCTCTCCTTCCTATATGGGATGCTGCCCAATCCATGAATGATTTGATAAAGCCAATTACATCTTCAGATTCATTAGGTTAAATTTGTGTTTTAGCAGCACCTTAAAGGGGTGAGGCTCACACCTTTTGTTGAGGGGACATGTGTGGATTGGAGTGCACATTTACCATTCAAGCAGCTTATAAATCTGCCCTGACTTCTACTTTGTTTGCAAAAAGCTTCATGTCTGGCGAGGGAAAAGCAGAGAACGGTGACATGCTTCGCTTTCTGCTTAGTGTGTGTGCAACCTTCCACACCTCTAGGAATACGTAAGAGCTCGAGGTCCACCATGGCTGACTCACTTCCTTGACGTCTGTGAAACTTCAGTGGCTCTATTCTTTGCCGCAACTGGAATTGCAGCTGTAGGCAGTGGTCATGTTGACCTTTGATTTCTGCCGACTGCTATTGTTTCCTACAAACTACCTGGACACGGACCCTCTCTGTGGAGTTCCAAATTGGGTCTACTCTTCTGGTGACAGCAAGACCGTAGGTTCTCGGCCTCCGGAATCACTGTGCCGGGGTGGGGTGGGGGCAGTCTAGTGTTCGGTCACCCTGTTGTTCTTGCTGAGGGTAAGGCAGCTTTTGAATTAAGTACTTCCTTTTTTTTTTTAAATAAAAGATTTTATTTATTTATTTGACAGAGAGAGACACAGCCAGAAAGGGAACACAAGCAGGGGGAGTGGGAGAGGGAGAAGCAGGCTTCCCGCCAGCAGGGAGCCCAATGCTGGGCTCTGGGATCATGACCTGAGTGGAAGGCAGATGCTTAACAACTGAGCCACCCAGGCACCCTTAAAAAATTTTTTCTTGGGCACTCTTTAAATATAATGATCCACTACTTTAGTAATAGTCCTAATTACAGTGATAGCAACCAATAAATATGATAATATAATCAAAAATCTAAAATAGGTATTTCTAGAAACCAATAAATAGTGTTATTTTGAGTTGGGTTTTTCTTTTGTTTACATTTGCAACTTTGAGTCTTGGTAATCTCTATGTAACTTTAACAAAGTTTTATAAACTTTGGGTAGATATTACTCATTTATAATGTTCATAATACGGTATACACTCTAATGTTCATAATACACTAGCAATCCTATCATTGCCCCTATCTCACTCCTGTTACTATTTTTACTGAGTGAACAGAAATAAAATTTGAGAAAGATTTGAGACACAGAAACAGTATCTCCTAAGGTCTTGGTTCCCTTTTCCCATTCCTAATCCCCAGACAAGCTCTTCTAAAAATATTAAAAGCCTATAAAGGTGCATACCTGAAAAACTGCTTGATAATTAGAGCTAAAAGCTCACTGGTCAGCCATGTCTTGACAAAAAGCATGTTTGAATTTAATAAAAGTGTATTTGAAGAATTAATACACTATAATAAGATAATGTGTAAATCTAGAATATTTTGTTAGAGATGATTAACATGTACCTAATGAGAAAAAACTCATTAGTTGAGAAACAATATTTTCCATTACTAAAGAAAAATCTACTTTCTTGCTGTAAATGAGAAAATTATTTGAGGACAATACATAACTATAATAAACATAAATCCATGCATTATTTTGATATTTTATGCTTCATAAAGAATTGAATATTAAATTATTATAATTTTTAAAAAGGTATTATGGCTAAAAAAAAAAACAACACAAGTAAATACCTGAAATACCTCCTGGCTATCCCATGATATACGTGCCTAATTCCAATGTTATTTTCTTTCTCAATATTTCAGCAAGGCTGTATGTAGTTCTAATAGGCCATTAACGTAAATGCTATTAAAGAATAATCAGGTCTGCTAAATGAGGTTATATCATTTACCAAGATGATAGATTCTGACTTTGAAGAAGATTGCTGACCATTTATATGACTACTAAGGACTAATGTTTGACTTATAAATTCTAATTTCATCTTTTGCACACTGAGGAAAGAGATTAACAACTTTATCCACATCAAGATGCTTGTTTTGAAGAATTGATTCCATCTCTTTGAATAGTTCTTTCTCCAGTTTCCTCATGTTATCCAACAGGGTTTTGGCTTTTTCCTCCTTTTTATCTATTATTTCCAATGCCTGTTGATGTTTTTGGTAGAGTGGGTGTCTTCTGTCAGGCTTAAACTGAAAACGTGGCTTCTTTTTAACTGGATCTTCAAGTGCAAATGTTGGTGAACTGGTATCCAATAGTGGTGGAATATTTGGTACAAATATGAAAGGCTTAAAAATGGATCTCTCAGGATCAGGAGTCCCAGTAAAGAAGTGAATGCAAGGAAGGCTGGAGTCTTGGGGTAAAATAGAAACCATGTTTGCAGTGGTCAGGAATTCTCCCTCCATATTAATGCCACTTGGTTTATCTCAGAGAATTTCCATCATTGTTTCAAAAGCTATACTTCCTTTGTGTTTATTCAGAAGCTTGTAGCCATCACAGTATCTGCCTGGTGAAATCATCATCTTGGCTGTGTCAAGATAAGAGTATGTTGCAGCAAAATCAAACTCCTTTTTACCATCCCACCAACCTTTCTGCTTAGCATAGTTTCTCATGTCTGGATGTTCCCGATCAATCTTGATTGTTATAGAAAGCTGATTAGAAATATTACGAACTCCCTCTCATACTTTTTCTGCAGCCCAGTACTTCCCTGCAGTCTCCAGAATCCAGGCTTCATTCCTATCAGCTATCAGGAAACTATTGTGATAGCTAAACACCATCGTACTCTCTGAACAATTTCCACCCTGGCCATATTTTTCTAATAGATCAGCAATGACATTGAGGGCTTTTTCAGCTGTATCAGCTCTTTCAAGGCCAAGTCTGACAAGGTCCATGCCCAGTAGTGCCTCTTCATCACAAACTTCTTCTCTTCCCCATACAGCTTCATTCCCAATGCAAACTCCATGCTCATTGGCTCCCATTTCTGCCCCCCATAACCAATCCGGGCGACTAAGGACAACAGCATATGTTTCAGGAACTTGATCAATTTCTATGTAAGTACACTGAAGATGTTCTCTCGGGTTATCATGAACTGCAGCAGGAAAATAAACTACCTCCTGTACTTCATCGTGCAATCTATCTGAATTTTTTCCAAAAATAATCCCGTTACCAACAGTTGCTGGAGGTAATGCCACAAAAGTATCACAGGAACAAGGTTCCATTTTTTTTAAAAAACTCAGACCCCGGGCACCTCCCACCTGAATTAAGTACTTCTTAATCTG